ACGTGGAATGTCACCGCACTGGTGGGGAAGGAGCCTGAGCTGGTGTGTGAGGCTGAGAGGTTCTGGTTAGAAATTGTCGGACTCGCCTCTACGCATGGCTCTGGCTCTGGAACAAGTTTCCTTGAGAGGGGCTGGACACTCTTCCACTCTGGAGTTGCCCCTGGTGAGAGGCGCCGAGTAGGAGTGGACATACTTATTGCCCCCCAACTTGGTGCCTGTGTGTTGGGTTTCACCCCGGTGAATGAGAGGGTGGCCTCCCTCCGCCTACGTGTGGGGGGACGGGTTCTGACTGTCGTTTGTGCTTATGCACCAAACGGCAGTTCAGATTATCCACCCTTTTTGGAGTCCTTGGAGGGGGTACTGGAAAGTGCACCTCCTGAGGACTCCTTTGTTCTGCTGGGGGACTTCAATGCTCATGTGGGCAATGACAGTGAGACCTGGAGGGGTGTGGTTGGGAGGAATGACCCCCTTGATCTGAACCCGAGTGGTTTTCTGTTGTTGGACTTCTGTGCTCGTCATGGATTGTCAATAACGAACACCTTGTTCAAGCATAAGGGTGTCCATATGTGCTCTTGGCACCAGGACACCCTAGGCCGCAGTTCGATGATTGACTTTGTCATCGTCTCATCTGATCTGTGGCCACATGTCTTGGACACTCGGGTGAAGATAGGGGCGGAGCTGTCCACTGATCACTACATGGTGGTGAGTTGGCTCCGATGGTGGGAGAGGATGCCGGTCAGACATGGCAGACCCAAACATATTGTGAGGGTTTGCTGGGAACGTCTGGCAGAGTCTCCTGTGAAACTGAGTTTTAACTCTCACCTCCGGGAGAACTTCGAACATGTTCCGAGGGAGGTGGGGGACATTGAGTCTGAGTGGACCATGTTTTGTGCCTCTATTGTCGAGGCGGCTTACCGGAGCTGCGGCCGCAAGGTTGTCAGTGCCTGTCGCGGCAGCAACCCTCGAACCCGATGGTGGACACCGTCGGTGAGGGATGCTGTCAGGCTGAAGAAGGAGTCCTATCGGGCCTTTTTGGCCTGTGGCACCCCAGAAGCAGCTGATGGGTACTGGCAGTCCAAGCGACGTGCAGCTCGGGTGATCGCTGAGGCAAAAACTCGGGCATGGGAGGAGTTCGGAGAGGCCATGGAGAATGACTTCTGCACGGCTTCGAGGCCATTCTGGTCCACCATCCGGCGTCTCAGGGGGGGAAAGCGGTACGCCACCAACACTGTTTATAGTGGGAGTGGTGTGCTGCTGACTTCAACTCGGGATGTTGTGGATCGGTGGGCGGAATACTTTGAAGACCTCCTCAATCCCACTGGCACGTCTTCCACTGAGGAAGCGGAGCCTGGAGACTCTGGGTCTGGCCCTCCAATCTCTGGTGCTGAGGTCACCGAGGTAGTTAAAAAGCTCCTTGGTGGCAGGGCCCCAGGGGTGGATGAGATTTGCCCGGAGTTCCTTAAGGCTCTGGATGTTGTAGGGTTGTGTTGGCTTACGTGACTCTGCAATATTGTGTGGACATTGGGGGAAGTTTCCCTGGATTGGCAGACCGGGGTGGTGGTCCCCCATTCAAAAAGGGGGGCCATAGAGTGTGTTCCAACTACAGGGGAATCATGCTCTTAAGCCTCCCTTGTAAGGTCTATTCGGGGAGGAGTGTCCGTTGGATAGTCGAACCTCGGATTCAGGAGGAGCAGTGCGGTTTTTGTCCTGGCCGTGGAACACTGGACCAGCTCTACACTCTCAGCAGGGTCCTGGAGGGTGCGTGGGAGTTTCCCCAATGGGTCTACATGTGCTTTGTGGACTTGGTGAAGGCGTTCAACCGCGTCCCTTGGGGAACCCTTTGGGAGATACTCTGGGAGTATGGGGTACCGGGCCCTTTGATACGGTCTGTTAGGTCCCTGTATGACCGTGTCAGAGCCTGGTCCGCATCGCCAGCAATAAGTCAGGCTTGTTCCCGTTGAGAGTTGGACTCTGCCAAGGTTGCCCTTTGTCACCTATTCTGTTCATAACTTTTAAGGACAGAATTTCTAGGTGCAGCCAAGGTGTTGAGGGGATCTGTTTTGGTGGCCTTAGGACTTCCAAGATGGCGCCCGAGCTGGTGGCTTGCCGTTCACCTCTGTCCACTGTTTCTTTTTTTTGCTATTTTTATCATTTTTCTTCAATAAGATCAGCTCACTACTGGTGTATGATCGCCAGCAACTGTTCAATCTACAATTTTCCACCACTTATCTCGCCTCTTATGAACATTTTGATCGGGGTTCTGGGCCCCCACTTCTGCTGCTTGGGAACATACCTGGGTATCTCCAGCGCGCGGCATTCGTGCCTGCACAAAAACATCGCTCTTGTCGCCGTGGGAGACGTGCTGGCCGCCTTGTGAGGCTCAAAGCTAGCCTCGCTCGTTCCTCAGCTACAGCTGTCCACCGGACTGAGGTTTCTCCACCTGGATGCCTCGCGGAGTCCTGCCTGCTGCAGAACATCGGGTCGGAGGTGTGCAGCGAGCGCGCGCCCAGCTGCGGTGTTTCCAACCGTATCCAGCAAACCGAAACCAACCCGGGTCCAACAGCTGTACCATCTGCTGCCCCATCAGATCGTACCAACGACCCTGCTGTGTCCGGCGGCTCCCCGTTTCTGGCTGTTCGTCCCGGCTGCACTTTCTCCGGCCGGAGGAGGCGAGGACCCGACGTAAACAAACTGAAACCGCTGATCTGCGCCCCCCCCCCCCCCCCCAACTTCTCCCTCAGCTGCTGACCCAACAAGGTTTGCTCTCCTCAATGTGAGGTCTTTAACAAACAAAACCTTCATCATGAACGACTTTTTCTGCACAAATAATCTGGACTTCATGTTTCTGACAGAGACTTGGCTTCCTCTGGGTGAGTCAAGTGTGTTTTCTGAACTTGTGCCTGCTGATTGTAGTTTTCTTAATTGCCCGAGGTCATCTGGAAGAGGTGGAGGAGTGTTGGCTGTTTTTAAGAAAATCTGGAAATGCAGACTGTTACAGACACCATCTTTTCAGACCTTTGAACTGCTGCATTTTGAACTGGGACGCTCCAACCCCATGTTGATTGCGGTGCTTTATCGACCGCCCAAATCCTCCACAGGCTTCATCAGTGAACTGTCTGTCTTTCTCACTGCAATACTGTTAAAATACGACCGTGTGCTGATTCTAGGGGACTTCAATGTGCACGTCTGTTGCCCTGAAAAGCCTTTGGTTCAGGACTTTTTAAATCTGATCCACTCTTTAAACCTGGTGCAAAATGTTGTCGGCCCCACACACCATCAGGGTCACACTTTTGATATTGTTCTGTCTTGTGGTGTCTCTGTGCTAAATCTGGAAATTGGGGATGCTATTATGTCTGATCACAAACAAATCTCATTTGTAATACCTCTTGCTTGTGTCTCTAATGCCCCTTTTCCACCGTCACGGCGCGGGTCGGATATTTCCGGGTTGAAGCGCGTTTGAGGTCTTTCCACTGTTCCAGAAACCGGCTCGCCTCGCTAAATTCTGGCCCGGCTTCTCAAGGGTTCCGAGCGAGCCGCGCCGTGACGTCAGAAACACTATCGGTCACTGGTTGGTCGGGGGGAGGAGTCTGTGGAGTCTTTCCAAACAACCCGATCCACCATTTTTTCTCTACCGCTTGCCATTAGCGATAACTCGAGGAGCGTATCTTTTAGTATTTTGAAGCTACACAACAACAATAATATCAAAGCCATGGTCAAATGCAGAAGTGCAGGTGTTGTTGTGCTTGGTGGCCGACGAAAAAAGTCAAAGCGAGCTAGATGGAGGATTGGAGGGTGGTTTGGACACGACTACTGCTCTACTTGAACCATTTATAGAAGATGGTGAGTGTTTTCTAACTTTAAACATATTTTAAATTACTCATCCCATCGGTTCTGAACATATTTTTAACTAACAAAAGAGGCTGATGCCATAATAGTACAACGTCGGTGCTACGATGCTAAGCTAATTTGCATAAATGCTAATTGTCCTCCGGTCCCGTTTCTCACTGTATTTTATCCAGAACGTATTTCAGCGCGTGATGGTTCATCTCTAAACTCCACATTAAACCCTCCAAGCCTCCCGGCTCCTGCTCCATCAGAGGAGTCTACACCATCAGAGGAGTCTGCACCATCAGAGGAGTCTACACCATCAGAGGAGTCTGCACCTCACAGAGCAGCACAACGCTGCAGCTTC